GAGTATTGGTGCTACCTACTAGTTCTTGGGCGGCAGCGAGCTGAAAACAAGAAGGGCTTTTGGTATTTGGCCGTGGTACCCAGCCAATTGAGGCCAACGAAGGGCCAATGATGAGGGTCAAAAGGGAATCCTGGTCGCCCGGACCTGGGTGCGCCCCCACGTCACAGAACACCTGGAACAAGGCAAGGCACCCTGTCCGGCCGAGGCTCTAGGGCGTTTGGGTTCACAAGACAAATGATGTGATGGAGGCGTGGCTAAATCCGGGGTGCGTCTCCTCATCAGGGAGCTGCTGCTCTGGTCTTATCTCCCGGCCAGTGAGGGCGGCCGACCTACCCGACAAGCGAGGGGGCACGACGTCAATTCGATCCACCCTCGATCCGGTTATCGGCCTGGCTGCCACCTCTTGTGCCTTTTTCTGAAACAGGTACAGGTCGTTTTCCTTCGCCGGCATTGCGGAGAAAGGGGGGCTAGGAAGGCTCAGGGCAGGCAGAGACAAGTACCGAGTATGGAGGTTTAACCAGCGCCAGACAAACTCAGGGAGGAGAAGCCGGAGTCGTACCCAATTTTTTCGCGCCCGGAACGCTTGGTCTTTGCTCGAAATGGCAGGGTTGGCAGCTTGCTAAAGGGCCACGCATTTTGGCTGCTCTTGGTTGGATCAAGGGTGTCTGTACGAGGTACCCATCTCATCTCGCAACCTCGTCGCTGCGCCCGACGGAGGTGGCTCAGAGGAGACGAGTCCATGGGAGGTGGGGAGGAGGACTTCTTGTTTACGCCTGACCGAGACGATCTTCTGGGGCCGAAAGCAACGTGGACAGAACTAGGACGTGCCGCTGTCGCATTGGAAGGAATATAGTACTCTGTAGGTACAGGTGGTTGTTTTGTCGACCGAAACCCGGACTCTGTCGGGGCTTGTGGGTATGTGGACTTTGGGAGGCGGTGTTGGTGGAAGGGGGGGAAATTCAATCAAGTTGGCTGCCCGGACGGATGCTGGATGCCTAGCGCGGGCTAGCGAGGCCCAACGGGTTGGTTCTTGGATACGCCATTACCTGTCATTTCAAACAGATTTTCTGCCCTTCACCATCACATACCTACCAACCTAGTATCCGAGTCTGACATCAGTTCGAGCCACCACCACTACCACCCCCTTGAAAATTGACCATCTCCAGCAAATAAGGTCCATCGAAGTGGTACGAGAGAGCTTCCATTCAAGTTCAGCACCAGCAGTTTTCATATTAAGTCAGCTGTACATATGACATGCAGGACAAACTACTCGTGGAGGACAGCATGATCTACTCTGAAAACTGCCAGCGAAGATGGTCCCCGCTTACTACTGGATAGGGTGCAATTGTTCCAGTGCCGTCGAGCCGTCCAAAAACAGGCGTCCCTTGTCAGACTGTCGCAGTCTTCCTACTCAGGCATGTCAGGGCCTCAGAGATGGATATATCCTTGTGTCAGACCGAGAATTTTCTGTTATCCCACGGCCTTCGCCTGTGTGCCTTTCGGCCACTCTAGGCTCGATGGAGAGAGCGTGTGCGGTGCACGACGACAAGGACAACAACTAGCAGCACACGCGGGCACATTCTAGCGGTTGCGAGGAGCGAACACCAGATTGTAATCTGGTCCAAGCGGTGGTCATGAGTGTGGGGGTTTGCGGGCCATTGACTTGCAGCTGCAGCAGAGGATCCGAGAAAGATTGGAGATGGCATCTGCCACGTATGCGGCGCAGTGCAGTAAATCGCCATTCCATGCATGTCAAATCTTGCTCTCTTGATCGAGCTCGGTCCAAAGGGCTCTAGTTACGAGCGACCCAAGCCGCAGCTGGTCGGCACGATGCGACAGGCGGGTTGCAGATGCGCGATTCTTGAATGCGTAAGGACCGGTCCTTTTGCTGGTTCATGAGTTCGTGTCTGCGTGTGGGCATGTGGAGGGGGATGCATCGTCAGCGGACACAATTGAGACGACCAGATTCGGTCCTCTGCAGCAGAACAGGTCAGCGGAGTGGTGAGGCGAGGCTTTTGACGTGCACTACTCAGTTGTGTCTACCGTTCAGATGCCGTTTGACCCAGAAAGCGTTGTTGCAGAAGGTCATGCCGTCAGCTGAATTGGCCATGGCACCAGATTGCACCATTGGGCTTCCCATCTGGTAGCTTGCACGTGCCCCATATCACCCGTTGTGTCCTCGAATACCCATCCGACCTCACTACCATTGACCTCGCCCCTAGGCCATCGCCCGTTGAATGGGACCATTTTTTACTATACTTGTACAGATGTGACGGACAGAACCGGAATGATGATTTGTGGGGGGGCTCGATACCGAAGACGACAATGACTTGGGTCAGCGTTAAAGTGAGCTAGGACTTGCAAGTGAAAAAGGGGGAGCCGCAGGAATAGGCGGACATGGGCGCAGGCACATTTCTGCTTGGAGAAGCCAAGACCGGGCATGAGTGGAAGGTTCTGTCGTGATTGAGATGGCAAACAAGTCAAACCCTGGGAGAGGCGAGGGAAAATATGGATCAGTGAAGCGAGGTTGGAGGAAAGAGCAGAATTATGAAATGGGGCCCCAGAGTAGACAGGGGGCCAGGGGGAGAAGACGGAAACGTAGCAATGTCCTAAAAGTATGTTGTCGTTGGTGGTCTGGTAGTAGCAGTGGTATGCTTGTAGTACGAATAGATGGATAGTGAATTAATCTTTTTCTTCCTTCTGGGATCAAGGGCCAAGGGAAGCGATTGCATGGGTGTAAGTGCAGCGAGGGCAAAAAACATGGCGAAAAATCGGGAAGAGATGAGTTGAGAACCTTGGAAGCAAGCAAAGCATCGAGGCTTTTGCCCCTGTCAACTACTCGCTGTACCAACCTATCCCAGTTTAACCAAGCGAGAAGTGGAGGCGAAGAAAGAGGCAGAAACGTTGTGAAAGAGACCCGCGTTGGGCGGTGGCTGTTGGGGTGTGCTTGGTGCCTTACTGGGAGGGGGAAGCCCAGAAGCATCTCTAGAAGGCTAGGGATCAAAAAGGGAGGAGCGGAGGAAGGAAGGAAGCATCCAAGCATCCAAAAAGGAAGCAAGGGGGCCGCGTCACAAAGGGAGGGGAAAGGGAAGAAAATCTCTTTTCTCGTGTTTCTTTTCTTTTCTCACGCTTTTCCTATCAGTTACTCGTACTAAAGGTTAAGTCAGATGTTCTCGGAGACAAAATAATAATAATCATAATAATATTGTAGTTTGTACGAGTACGAGAAATGTAGATACGAGTACCTAATGCACTCTAGTCACTCGAAATAGAACAGGAGAACAGGGAGGAAGCAATCCTGGAGAACAGGATGAGGTCAGGGAGCCACTCCTTGTTGGGTCCCTATCGTAGGTGCCTTAAGGTGCCGGTAGGAGTTGTGATCAGGTACCGGATGGGGGTAGCCCAGGAATTGGGAGTGCCAGCTATGACATCTACCTGCTCCTCACCTAGCTGTGACATGGCTCCCCCCAGTCTCTAACCGTATTACCAATCATTACCGGGTCAATTACACCTTAATACACTGCCCCCCTCCCTTACCCGCCTAGATGCCCAGGCTTCCTAAAAAGGGGCCCTGTCGAGGAACAGGAAACGTGGGAATGCCCTGATGCTGGTTCCATCGAGCGGCGAGCCACATATCCCACGGCTTGAGGTCCTTAGTGCGCTAAATGTTGCTAGCTGCGATCCACTCCCATCTCCCAGACTCCCACACCTGCACACTAAAATTCATCATTCGTGCATTATTCCTCATTTCATCCTCATTTCTCCGCCCTATCCCATTTCCCTCTCTCGCATCTGGCCTTGCAAACACGACCGTCCCATACACACTCCCTTGACTCATTTTTCTCCTCCATTTGACCATTGACCACTGACCACCCCGACCACTTGCTCCTCCTGCTGTGCTGTGCACGGAAAATAATTTAATTACTGCTGTATCATCCCCAATTAGGAGCAGAATTGCTACTTGTTGCGTCTGCCTCGTCCCTTCCTTTGTTCACGAGTCCGCTCATACTTCTCACCAACCCCCCTTGCGAAACAACCCTCCAGAAGACACAAAGCCACCCTATCAAGTCGACGGCCGTGACACTCTGCCTTCTCTATACCTGGCTGGCTGAACGTCCTCTTGTCCACCCGAGCTGACCGGCCATCTGACCGCGCCCTACGTCCTTCTTACCAGGTGCAGCTCTCATCTCATCGACTGCTGCATTGCGCCTGCTGAGCCGGCGAAAAACAAGACTGCAAGCCTCTCTCTTACACCTCCCCCCCTAGTCCCCGACGCCTGCAAGGCCAGCGTTGACCTCTCGACGCCTTGCGCACCTCCGATCTGACAATTGCTACCATACGCCAACGCGTTGTACTTGCGTCTGGACCCCCTGTTACTCGGGCCTTGCATTGCAGCTGCACCAACACAAATCCGGAGAGCCGCTACACGACCACCACCATTAGGCGTGCGCCCACATGGCCTTTGTCCAGGGCTGTTGAGTGCTACTGCGCTAAAGTTCTCGACAAGTTCGGTGGCATTGATCCGGATCTCCCACCGCACACAAGACAGCATAATGAAGCCGTCAAAACGTTATAGACAGAGCTGGACTCCCCGACATTGTCAATCTCGAATCTGAGCTTCATTTTGAAAAGAGAAAAGAAAAGAGAACCCCATTTTTCCATCCTTTGGCCCTTTGTTTTGCGCCATGATCTCCGCCAATCCCTCGCCCTCAGCCAGGGCGCTCAGGAGCCGCGACAACTCACCGTCGCCTCAGCCGCGTGCCTTGGCTCGCATGCCCTCCAGCCAGAGAGTGAACACGGCCCTTCATCTATCCTCCGCTGCTCCAGCCTCCGCACACAGTGCTTCCTCCATGACCCAAAGCCCGTATATCAGCTCGATACAATCCTCTCCTTTGGTGTCACATTCAATCTACCATCCACCTCACCTTGGGACCCCTGTTCCACTTGAGCTGGGAGAGAGCCTCGTCTCTTCTCATGCGTTTCCGCCGCCAAAAGAACCCATGGCAGGTCCTAAGCCTGTGGGAATCATGCGCAAGCTCTCCCAAAGTGCCAAAGAGGGGGTATCCTCTGCTCGACAGACTCTGAGGAGAAAGGCTTCATCCTCCGCGCATTCCCGTCGAGATGAAAGCACAGGCCCTATCACTAGGCGTCGCAGCGACAGCAAGAACGCCATTGCAAATGGATACTCTGTCGAGTCACCGTCCTTGGATGCTCTGCCTTTGGATCTACCGCCGGGGTTGGGCCTGTATGGTGATACGATGAGCATTTCAAGCGAGCCCACAACATTGATAGACACAAGTCCCGAGGGCCAAGCTCCGTCCGTCCCTGAGCACTTGGTGGCAGGCTGCCCACTGACCAAGATCACCAAGAATAAAAAGCAAGAGAAATTATTCTTCATGGATGTCGAGGGTTCACGTGTCTCATGGAAGGGCGCTGTTACCACCAAAGTCTTCCATATCGACAACATCAAGAGCATCCGAAGTGGTGAGGAAGCTGCGAGCTTCCAGTCACAGCTCCGTGGTGAGGCTGTCGACCCGGAACTATGTTTCACCATCAACTATACCACATCGGATTCGGCCAAGCAAGTCAAGTCATTGCACCTCGTTGCTCGTAATCACCGGGACCTCCGACTATGGGTCGAGACGTTGGAGAGCCTGGCGAAGCACCGAGAGGAGCTGATGACCAGCATGGTTGGCTCTACCGAGCGTGAATCGGTTGTGAGAGCTCACTGGGACAACGAAATGGCAAAGCGAACGGTTAAGAACAACACCGCCAAAGCCGACGGTCTTGACCTTCCCACCATACAGGTGCTTTGTCGTAAACTCCACATCCACATTCCCGAGAGGGAGCTGGAGGAACATTTCCATTCAGTCGACGTCAACAAGTCAGACCTCTTGGACTACCCTCAATTCAGAGACTTCCTGAGACGTCTTCGCGAAAGAAGCGACATCAGGAAGATCTTCGACGATGTGAGAGGTAGTCATGCCAGGGGCGTAACGAGGTCTCAATTTATTCACTTCCTTAAACGCTATCAAGGCATCGATCTCGCTTCTCTCTCGGACCCGAGTGTCTGGGAAGAAAAGATCAACGACTTGGTAGCCATGTCTTTTCCAGAGGATCCATCTATGCAAAGAGCTGGTCTCATTGATGCTAACGCTTTTGCGTCATTCATTGTCTCCAAGGATTGCCATGTCTATTCCGTCCCCGAACCTTCTACCCCTAAATTTGATCGACCTTTGGGCGAATACTTCATTTCAAGTTCGCACAATACATATCTCACCGGTTGGCAAGTGGGAGGCACTGCTTCAGCCGAAACATATCTCACCGCGCTGCGACACGGATGCCGCTGCGTGGAAATTGACTGCTGGAACGGTCAAGACGGCAACCCGAGAGTGACCCACGGTCGTACCAGGACGACTTCTGTACTCTTCTCGGACTGCGTCAATGCCATCCAAAGATGCGCTTTTGATGTCAGCCCTTACCCGGTGATCATTTCTCTCGAGGTTCATTGTGATGCCGAGCAACAAGCCAAAATGGTGCAGATCATGAATGACGTGTTTGGAGAGCGACTACTCCTTCATCCCTTGCCTGGTTTCGACGCACAACTACCTTCGCCTGAAGACCTCAAGTACAAAATCCTCATCAAAGTCAAGTCTACCGAGCTTCACGCTGATCTCACGGCCTCGCGACGTGCGGCCCCCTCGCATCGAGATCGGAGCGCAAGTTCTCCTAACAGGCTCGGTGCCCAACCAACAAACTGGGTTCTCCCGAAGGTACCCTGTGTCTCAAATCCGGCATTGGTTACACCACCAGAGACCATCTATTCTCCCACTGACCGATCGGTCACGGCAACCAGCGGAAGCAGTGCGGACGAGGAGAGTGATGTCCCACCCACCTCCCCTTCGACTGGAGAAGGTCAGCGCCGTGCCCCGAAGCTAAGCAAGGTCGGCTCCCAGTTGTCTGCTCTCGGCGTGTACATGAAAGGTTACACGCTCCGCGATGCCAAAGATCTTCGTTTCCAACAATACAACCATATCTTCTCGCTCAACGAAAACAGAGCTATCGAGCTCTGTCGCTCGGCAGAGCAGAAAGCTCTCTTTGAAGACCACAATCTTCATTACTTATGTCGGGTCTATCCCAAGACTCTGAGATTCCAGTCGTCCAACTTTGACCCCAACACCTTCTGGAGGAGGGGTGTCCAAATGGTTGCCTTGAACTGGCAGACATTTGATGCTCATATGCAAATGAACCAGGCAATGTTTGCCGCTGGGACGGATGCGTATGGCTACGTGTTGAAGCCAGACTATCTCCGCAAGCCTCGGACCAAACCTGGAGATTTTGAGCATCGGGTGAAACTGCCTCGCTATAGGATCAGGTTCTCGGTCCAGGTGATTTCCGCTCAGCAGCTGCCTCGAGCGGCGAACATGGGCAAAGAAACGCCCTTGAATCCGTACATTGAGGTGCAAATGTTTAGTGCGGAGGACCGAGCTCGAGGAATTGCGAACGGCTCCGGTGGCACTGAGACCTACTCCAACGGCTACCATGGCATTGGATCACCCTACCGTCGACAAACGCAGATTAGGTTTGGCAATGGTTACAACCCTCAGTTTGGGGAAAACATTGAACTTTCCCTGGAGACTAAATACCCGGAGCTTGTCTTTGTCCGATTCATCGTCTTGAACTCGGACGACGGGAGGTACACGGGCAAAGGAGTCAAGCAACTGGCTGCATTCACTGCCAAGCTCGACAGCCTGCAGAAAGGATATCGACACCTCCCGTTGTTTAACGGACAAGGGGAAGAGTTTATCTTTTCCACTCTCTTCTGCAAGATTGCCAAGCAGGAGCCCAAGCTGATGCCCTGGTCATTGCAAGACGTCACCGAGCGGACTCCCCGCCCCAACGTGCTTCGAGGCTTCCTTTCACGCGGACTGTCGAGCGACCGAGGGAGAGAGCGCGGGTCCAGTGTCGAAGAAGTGGACGCGGGCCGACGGTCCAACCGTGAGATTGAGGAGAAAGTGGGCAAAAAGTGAGAAGAAAAAAAAAAAAAAACCAACAAAAAAGGGGGAACTTGCAAATGCAACAAGCATACTTTTGTATCAACGGTCCACAACAACGGCGCGGGAGTTTGATTTTGACAAGAGATACCCAAAAAGCATATATGACCTGATGACACACAATAGACTGACAACCCGTCTGGCAACGGACATTTCTTTCCTGTCGCTATTATTGACAAATTCAGGGAGGAGGAGGAGGGAGGCTCTTTTGTTTTGTTTTGTTTTTATTATTACTAGTGATCAAGGTTATTGTTCTTGTGTAACAACATCATCATCATCGTTATCATATAGATCAGGGGGATGGGGATAACACGAAGGCCGTGTGAGTGTTGGAATACCAATAGTCCATCCTTTGGTGGGAATTCAACTGGGAATGACAATTCAGGCTTTTGCGTAAGCAGCTTTTTGGGAATAAACTGATGCCGCTCTACCACAAGCTGCTCGGCTCCTCGCGGCTGCGGCGGCCACCATAGTTCTACCATACCATTTCCACGCCCATAGATGGCCATGATGTGATATTACATTGTGGAAGTTGTGGTATTTCAATATCCTTTCCAATGCGACGGACGACGCGCAGTCTTATTGTCAACGCCATCTTGTTCTGGACAGTCCTGTTCCTCATCATCTACGTCAACCATGATTGGACATCGACTACCAAGACCTTCGCGTGGTCTCGAATCCACTACAAGACCTCCTCCTCCACCCTGCCTGAGCCTCGCGGCAGCTGTCCCGGCTTGGAAGAGGACTCTAAACCGACCCTAGTAGTGGCGAGAGTTGGCGCAGAGGACCCTTCATGGCTTGACACCCTGGCAGCCGTTTACCACCTGTGTGTGTACAGGACCGACCTGCAAGACGTGACCTCATGGCATCTCCAAGTGCCAGCGAACCGGGGTCACGAAGCCATGGCATACCTCACCTTCCTGATCGACAATTATGAACGCCTCCCCGCGGCTGGCGCCGTCTTTGTTCACGGCTCACGCTGGGCATGGCACAATGACGCCCCTGATTATGACAATGCTGCCCTCCTGGCGTCCTTGAACGTTTCGGCTGCCCTCGCTCCGTTGGGATACCACAACCTGCGTTGCGACTGGAGCGCCAGCACATGCTCACCAACTGAAGCTCCGCCACAGGGCAGCCTGGAAACATTGGCACGCTCTGTGCTGGAGCCGTGGAACCTGCGTTTGGCATCGGATAGTGCACTGCCACGGGCGATCGTGGACCTGTTCGGTGGGCAGGGGACAGATGGAAAGATGAGCTCCACTAGATTGTCTCTGGGTCGTACGGATGCCATTCGGTCGCAGTGCTGCGCGCAGTTTGTCGTTTCCCGCGAGCGAATGTGGCAACATTCCCGTGACGAGTATGTTGCTCTTCGACAGTGGCTTCTGGATGAAGGAGAGAGGGCGGCCCATCCTGACGACCGGATTGCTGGCCGGATCTTGTCATATATATGGCACATCCTGTTCATGCCGCGGGATGCATCTGCCCACGTTGACCTAAAGCAACTCAATTCTTTGGCATGCCCGCCCGCTTACGAATGCTACTGTCGCTTGTACGGTCGGTGTGATCTGGACGGCTGCTCGAGTCCTGGCCATTGTCGTGGACAGTATGTTCTGCCACCCGGGTTTCGACTGCCGGATGATTGGGCGGCGAAACATTCGTGAGCACGAGCGGGGCAGGTTTTTTTGGTGGGCAAGACTCGTCATGTTTCACAATCGGGGGTATCTCTATGTTTCGTGCTCAGAACTCGCAACATGAGACTGATGCTGGAAATGCCAACGGCGACTGGGATGTGGCCGTCGCGGCGTCGATACAAGCACAACCAAAGTCCGCCTCGAGCCTAACCAGGCTGGAACCCTTGCCCATCGAATCTCGATATCGCATACACAATCACTCTGAATGCTGTGAGGCCCGAGGTCTTTCTCGACAGAGATTTCACTACGCCAAAACACCAATTGGGACGGATTAGGGTCTTGCATACCCAGGCATATGGACTTGAGACTTGTGGATTTACTTAGTCAGTGTCGGTATAGCACAAGCCACTGATCGCCGACTTGGCCAGCCTTGCCAGTCAATACGAGGTCCAAGCCTCGTCCCTAGTCCCCCCATTAGACTGATAGGCTCTTAAAATTTGAGGACGACTTTATAAAGCAGTTATGGTTGTATTTCTCTCCTACCATCGCAAGCCAATCCACTCATCCTTTTATACTCGTCGTACTAGTAATACTCGGTACCTCGTACACCTCATGGAGTTAATGGCGAGAATGGCGGGGAAACCCTCAGCTCAGCTCAGCAGTTGCTTGGCTGCAGCATGGCTGACTTGACTAGTTCTTCCTGCCACCAAAAACTTCCTTCGATCCAAACACATTTCTCCCCTCTATCACAAGGCCCGGTTTGCGTGGCTGGGATCGAGCTAAGGGTATTGTATTGTATTTTCTAGAGGGGGCCACAATGCTGGTGCTATCGGCTCCTGCGGTCTGATGCTTTCTCTGGCTTTCGAAACGCCGTCTCTGTTTTCTTTGGACGTTCACCGACTATCATTGTTATTTTGCCACAACCCAATGCTTCGCTGCAATCCAGCTGTTTGCTTTTTCCTGCCGAAAGTGAGCCAGGATGAAGTTCATCGACCAGTATTTCAGCGATAACCAGGGGTTTCAGCTCGACATCGTCGGTAAGTCGGGGCACTTGATCGTAGGCACACCGACCCTTTGTCCCGGGGCTCTTCCAACCATCTACTTCCCAAGCAGAAGTTGCTAAGCACCAGAGGCAGGTTTCCTTGCCATCCTCGGAGAAGGTTCCGTCGAGACCATCGCCCAAGTAGCTACCTTGAGCTACCTCATATACGTTCCCCGCCTCCTCCCTGCGCCTCAGATCTTCATCCGACCTTCTCGCCCCGAAAAGTTAGAGACCACCGCGGGAGCCAATGTCATTGGAGTCCACTCAGGTAACACCGGGGAAGACATCCACCATGTGGCCCATGCCTTGCACCGCGGTGACAAGTTGCGTCCCAACACCGTCACTTGTGTTCGAGTAAGAGAGAACGACAAACCCCGTCCGTCTATCAAGAGGTTTGGTCCATTGGCCTGGCTGGTATTTCTGGGGGCGGCCATGAGCGGTGCCCTGCTAGCGCTTTCCATATACTATGAAGACGGGTGAATCTTTACCACGGTTCCGGAATACAAGGGATACTGTGCTAAATCGCCATTGTCTAGGATGTCGTTGCTGGCGACCGTGTTGCTGTCCTCCCTAAGCACCGTGACGGGCATCGCCAACAAGTGGTCACCCACACCCAATGACCCCAAACCCGATCCTCACTCACCGCCCGGCGACGTGGTCATCAAGTACCCTCAAGGCGCCTTTATTGTGGTGACCTGCGAGGAGCGAACGGCGCGGTATCTCTACTTCAACCCCAGTGAGCGTTGCATCTACTCGGTGAAAAGCACGGCCATCTATCGAGGACTTTCGCTCATTTCGACCTTGTTGCTCATGGGCGGGGTGATTTCGTTGGCCAACGCCAAGATCCAGACCCAGACGGCCTTTGCGGGCTCCTATATGCTCATCAATATCTTCTACTGGGTCGGCGCCGCCTTGCCTCCTGCTCAGCATTGGGACCTCTCCCGCCTGGAGGTGGAGCACATCGAAGTGCGTGGGGGAACGCCACCACGAAACGCCAAAGTCGACAACTATTCGCCCACGTACACCGAGGCGCTGTGGAAGGCTATTGCAGTGACAGGGACCAGCAATTGGGTCAAGGAAGCTGGCTGGGCTCCCAAGACACCAGCTTGGAGCGACTGGCTCAACGAGGCGGAAGAGGCTGCCGTGGGCGAACCGCTGAAGTCAAGCCGCCAGATGGTGGATGGGCAAGAGGTTGAAGTCTGGACAATCCGCAACTGGGACAGTCGAAATGCGCTCTCGACTTTGTTACGGACCACGACGGATAGAATCCAAGTCCAGTCAAAGCGGGGATGATGCAGGAAAAAAACACCATTGTGAAGCGAAGAAGTTGTCCTATCCATGTAAACCGACAGAGAAGAGGGCATTCCATCACCGACGCCTATCCAGACTGGCCTAGTCTTTTGCACACCCACGGTCTACCTGAGTACGGGGCACGCACGACACATCTACGAATTTTAACGACCAAAAAGTGAACGAACGAGCACGAAAACAAGAACAAGAACGAGAACGAGAACGAGAACGAGAACGAGAACCATGATTCCACGAACCAATGATCCAGTCTATAATCAATGAATCACAAATGACTCCATGATCCAACGACCCACCCGCTACCGGACCCAAAAAAGTGCACCATAAAAGTACCAACACTGACAGTACCCGATATACATCCACATACCTAACCTATTATACTCGGTACATTGCGTGACTGAATGCGCGTTTATCCACCAAACCGTCTATTGACGTATGTATGCATGCATGTATGTATGTATGTATGAGACCACGCATGCGGGCGCGCAGGATATTTATTTTCTATGGATATATGGGTATTAGGATATAGAGAAAGAGAGAGAGAGAGGTTTGATAGAGTGACTTGGACTTGATCATTTATGACCTTTACGACGGTTTATGATATCTACTCGTACCACCTGTGCTCATTTACACAAGTCGCATGCCTCTTGGGATCTGGTATTTGCAATGCGCGGCGACGCATAGGACAAAACCTTCGTCTCGTTCTCTCGTTGCTTTGTCGTGTCGTTCCTGGTCGAGAAGCCGTAAAGTAATCCCACAGTACGTTAGAGATAAGAGACAAAGATCGAACCTCGCCGGGAAGAGAAGAGACCAAATAAAGAGTCAAGTCGAGCCAATAAGTCAAGCTTCCGTGTCTCGTGTCAAGGGAGTATACCTCGTATGGGGGAGTATGTGGGAGTATATACTTGTATAGATCGTATATGTTGCCCCTTGCCCTGCCCTGCTCAGCTCAGCCCTGCTTCTCTTTCTCATCGGTGTCTGCCATGACATTGTCAAGTGTTGTCTGTCAGGTGCATGTTCGGGTTGATTAATATCAAAACATTACTCCAAGTAGTAGCAGTTGTGATGACTCCTCCAGTCCAATTCCACTGGGATTCCCCCATCGTCGTCAAAGTCGTCGTCGTCATATAGATCGATCTCAAAACAAAACGCTCACAAAAAGGCATGTTGCCCAAAACCCAAAATAGCATCAAAGCATCCGACATGGTATACATGCACTCGTCACCACCCAACGAAACTCCCAATCACACCTTGGCACTTCTCATCTCATCGGCGGGAATCATGCCTGCATTGATCTGCGCAGCCAGCTGCGACTCTCTGAATGCATTGAAGCCCTCGGGGTCTTTCTCCCTGAGCATCAGAAGCTCTTGAGCATTCAATCCTAGCTCGCGTACGACGTTGTCTGCGCCTTCCCTCTCCACTTTGTACCGAATGTCCTCTCCATGGATCTCGTCCAATTTTGCGCGGAGAGCAGCGAGGTGAGGCGGGTCAAGGTCAGTTACACGGGATCCATGCAAGGCATCATCCAGGCCAGTGGGTTTGAGGACTTCTCGCCGGATACTCTGTCCAAAACGGTGCATACGGCCTTCTTCGTCTGTAAAGGCTTTGGCCGCGAGAGATGTGTTGGACGACGTTCGAGATAATTTCATGGCGTATTGGTCTTGTGCCTGACGTTCTGCCGGGAAGTATTCGTCGGCATCAGCCATCTCTAGGATCCCGCTTGAATCAATCGAAGCCGACAACAGAGACGTCTCTCCCATGGAAGGATCTGGGGAAGGCATGCCGTTCGGAATTGGAGGAGATGACGAAGGGACTTTGGTCTCGGGATACTCGTCTTCGAATCTCTGGATCATCCGCTGCAGGGTCTGGTCGAGGAAGAAAAGACGACCTGTTCACGCTTGTCAGTAATGATACACCCCTCGGATCCTCTGGCCAGGACTTACGATAGTTCTCGTGGTTTCCCGCTCGATCTTCTCTGACCAGGACAGGCTGTAACCGTCGTCTGATCTTTCGCGCACTCTCACAAAGCTCCAAACTCACATCCCGAGGTTTCGACATTGTCCTTTGCCGGATTGGTCCCCTTGGAGTGGATGTCCCACTTGCTGTAGGACTAATACTCCTCGATTGTGCCCGGCTGTTGCCATCCTTGCGATCCAAACAGACACCCAAGGCTTTGACGATTCCGGTCGACGCAATCATATAGTCCTCATCCGGTGCTGGCTCGTCCTTGTCGTAATTCGCTGGGTAGCCCTCCACATGACCGACAAGATGGAGCAATACTTCTGGAGCGTCCTTCTCAGCAAGTTCGTCTGGCTTGACGCCGACCTCACTCAGAGTTGCGCGCTCCATGTTTCGGAGACTGTAAGCCACGACCTGTGATGCCAATGCTTTGACAACCTCACTACTGTCAGAGCTGGGCACTTCGATCTCCACAGCCACAATGGTCTCCGACACTCTGACCGCGGTCATCAAGGACGCAAAGAATGCGCACGCCTCCTCTTGCGAGCTGGCATCTCTCGAATTCATGGCGTGAATGAGCGGGGCATTGTCTAGAATAGTGAGATGGGCCATCGATGGGCAATCTGGCAAGATCTCGGCCAAAGCAATGACTTGTTCAGACGTCATGCCCACATCTGACAGATGTAAACGCTTCAGAGGTGCTAATTTGGGGAGGAGTCTGCGGAGAACCGGCACGGCGCTGGGCTGACTGTTGAACAACGCCATGTTGCGTGACAGGTCGATGAATTTGAGGTTCTTCAGTTTGGCGAACGGTATCAGGATGGAGTTGAGATCGCCGGGCGTTAAATTGCAATCCGACAAGCTAATTGCAAACAACGGGCAATCACTGTCAGCAGCTTCTGCAAGAATGTATGCGATCCCATGCAGGTCATTGCTTCCAAGATCAAGACCCTCACAGTGGCCAGACTTGATATATCGCGCAAGGTAGCTGAGGGCTTCCTGCTCGAGGTTGTTGCCAGAAAGCCCAAGCCGTCGGATCTTACATTTGATGGCGCAATCCACGAGGTCTCGAATATTCACAGGAGAAAGGCCACAGTCACCAAGGATGAGCTCGTCAAGTTTGTCACCCAATCGCTCTGATAACGCATAGATAACCAGAGTCCCCAGATCCATGACTTTGGAAGTCGCGTCATTCGATCCAGTGCTGTTGGAACTTGTTGTAGAGATTGTCCGTGAGAGATCGCCTGCCTTCGGGAACGGGATCCCCGACAGATCAATGCCTCTGAGCGATCGCGACATGTGCATGAAAAGTGCAATGTGCCTCCATCCGAGATTTGTGATTCCAGAGTTGTCCTTCAGAGAGAGCTTCTCGATAACTCCCATCTGCTCCCTGCCACTCTTCCCACTCAGTCTCTTGGGCAATTTCCTGTTCTGTCGGGCTTGCTCGGCAGATTTGCAGCTGGAGAGGCCTGACAAAATCACCCGGACGCCTTCGTCCGTCAACCCACAGTTTTCCAATACGAGTTTGCGAACAGGAACGATGGCGAGCCAATCGCCCAAAGTTACAATATCCTGCAACTGCATCTGACTCCCGGACAGATCCATTACCGCGACTGTGCCAGGAGCTTCGGCCAGACCAGCGGAAGGCTTAGATATTTGCTCTTTAACTTTGTTCAGGACCGTTGTTTCGCGCAATTGACAACAGCGCTTGTATATCCTCAGAGGGTCTGTCGTACGGCCATCTGTTCCTTCTGGAGGCCGCTTGCTGGGCGTCGAAGCGCCTGGTGGTGTAATGCTTGTATTCGAGTCCGAGTCATCTTCTTCACGAGTCAACTCTAGCGGTACCAGGCCGTTTGCTTCAGCGTGTCGTCTTTTTCGCTCCTTTCGTTCCTTTCGCTCGGCTTCGGACCGTTTCTTTTTCTCCTTCTTTCGTGTACTGGGCACGGCTAGAGGCTCGGGACCTTGCAGCGTTTCTGAAGTATCTTCATCTTTCTCATCCTTTTTCCCCTCTGGTGGCTGAGTCTGGGGTTCTGGCTCCGGGCTTCTCTGCACCCCGTCTTCCTGCTGCATTTCCGCAACTGACGTCTTAGGGGTTTTTAAGACGGCGCCTTCACCCTTTTCTTTAGTCCTTACGTCCTTCGAGTCTTTGTTGCTGGTCACTTGTTTGTCAGAGGTGGAAATATTCTGCTTTTGAGCGTTTGACACCGCTGGGCGGTGATATTGCTCTGGATCTTCGTCGGCCTGAGAAGCGAACCCAGCAATCTCCACATCTACGCAAAACGACACTCTCTTCAGCTTGTTCTGGTCAAACTCGCTGATCTTGATGCGTTCACGATTCTGGTCGATGTTCATCACCCTTCTTGGGCAGATTGCACCACTAGTTGCGCTTTTGCCCATGTGGGTGTTGGAGGAAGAGAGTCTGCGAAAGGCGCTCGATAGAAATCCAGGATGCTCTAACTTTGTTTCTTTTCCCGCGGCAACGAGGACTGAAGGTCTTCGAGGGGCAGTGTGAGGGACGACAGGCGTTTTGGATTCTTCTTTTTTGGTCTCTTTCTGTCCTTCTTTGGGTGGTCGGTTCTTCTCGAAGGGATTCGATAACTCGATTTTCGGACTCGGCTGAGGAGATGCTGTTAGGCTATTACTCACTTGTTGCACATCCGTGCTGGAATTCCGAGGCGGCGTTGGTGAATTCACAGACGAGAATTTGGAGCTGAAACTTGCGATCCACGAACTCCTTCTACCCTCTTTCTTGTTGGGGATACTTGGCTTCAGACCTTTTTTGCCATCCTCTGCGCTCTGGCCTTTCGACATCGTGGGTCGAGGGGATTGGCTTTGGTTAGGCTGGGAGACTGTCGGCCCTGTTTTCTGCGCGGTAGGCTGTGTGTGGTTCTCCTTGCCATTGACAGCGATTGCAGACTTCTGTTGCTCGGATGCTGGAGGAACTCCATTCTGAGTTTCTTGGAGTGGTGTAGGATCATGGCGAGGGTGCGCAGTTGCAGGATCATGGCGATTGCCTTTGGAGCCTGCAGAGGACTGTGAAGCTGGCTTCCGACCATTTCTATCGCCCACCGAATGGGTCAAATCTGGTGCGATGGTTAGTGATACCGTTTTCTGCAATAATCGCTGTTCAGACGAAGAGAAAGCAGGCGCAACTGTGAGCCGACATTGTGGGACCACACCTTTCTTGGAATGCAGCAGCCAGTCGACATCCAGACCACTTTCGGTGGCCGCAGCCATTGTGATTGAGATGAAGCGCAGACGCCTCGAGGATCAAAAGATGAACCTTTGCTCTGGGGATGTCATAAAGGCTGGACCGAGGACCGTTGTGAAGAAGCTGGATGATGGGCGGCGATGGGTTTGCACAGGGCAGCCGGCGGGGTTAAAGGTGCAGTAGGCAAAGCAATGCAGCTCCTGCTTGGTTGGCCAGAGGTCAGAGATCGCGATCGACTTGGGTCTGGGCTTTGGGGATCTTGTGGCAGGATGGCAGGATTCGGCCGCCACTTAAAAGCCAGCCCGCCGCTGGAACTGGAACTCGGTACGAGTAGGTTGACAAGGCGGCCCTCGGAAGCGCCTGGGGGCTTGAGCGCCGTGACTGCGGTGCAGTGGCCCAAGGTCCAACGCCTCGAGGAATGCCCAGGATCTTCGGCCAGAATAGCTGCAATAGTTGGAGGTTGGAGAGTGCCGAATGGGTGCAACAGGAGGGGATCTAGGGAAGTGGACCACTTGACATGCACCACTGACACCACCAGAAACTCAGCTTCGGGCGGTTTTTATGTGGTCATTGTCACCGTCCACACCACCGACACAATAATAGTGAGCAATGATGAAATAAGACGTGTGTCGTTTGCCGTCCCTTTCAAGCACACGAGTCGGGTAGATCGCGGGATTTCGGAAACCGTCGTCACGGAACTCTCCCTCGTTGGCGTCACTGTGCGAGAGATTCTCCCAGCCGACACTTCTCCCTTCTCGAGCGTTCCCCTATTAATGATGGCGCCCCTCCGAAAAATGCCTCCTGCTGCAAGCGCGTGACCCGGCCGAGAGAGAAAGGGAAAGATCAAGAATTGCACGGGGTGGCAGGGAGAAAAAAGCGTCAGCAAACAAGCCCATAATATATCTCGCACCTCTGCTCAACACCCCGTATTGCCATAATAACATGCCCTTGATGACACACATGCGAACAGTGGCACCGGGCACAGACAGGCATTGCTACCAACTGGTCAGCCCCGATAACCACTCGTGGCAAGGATTCCAGGTCGTGGTGCCTGACATATGAGGCCCCCTGCCCCTCGCGGGATTGCTTAGATGGACACTCTGCTTAGGGCCTGTTCACCAGTAGAAGGCCTGGGGAGAACCACCCAGCAGAGCCTGTGGCTCAAAGCATAGGGCTCACCAACCCACTAAGGCACAGTAAGGATCGACTCAGAGGCACCTACTCCGTAAAGTCTACCTCTAGGTCTGGTGGCGGGGTCAGGTCAGCATCTTATGTCAGAAAGCGTCAAGACTATAGTTGACTATGAATGGCCGGTATGGACAAAGTTAAGATGGGTTCATCATCCTTCCTACTAGTAAGATTTCCTCCACACGTTTTGGCAACAAACCAGAATGTGTGCGAAATGAACGGTCTCTTCAGAACTTGGGAACCTGTTACAGGCACCCAATAGCCATGATTGATATTCTTCTCTCGTCCTGGCTATTTCTCGTCGTATCAGATCGTTTCCAGCTAACCAGGCGCGCCAGAGCATCAGATCTCTGGGAAGAACTCTGTCAAAACCCATCATGGGTATCTATCGTAGGACGAGTTGCTTTTGGAGAATGCTGAACATCATGATTCTCGTATCTCTTGACTCGAAGTTCTCAACACCAGCAACGATTCCTTCTCAACCGTCCCTAATGAACTCCTTTTTTTGCCCGAGCACCAACCGGTGCTGGATGACGGCACTCAGGAAGCAAGAGTCGCAATCTTCTCCTTGACTCGGCGGTCCTTCTCCTCCTTGGACAGCTTGCTGACCTTGTATTTCTTGCCTTCCGCCTTCCACTCATCCTTGGACTTCTTGTCTCCCTCATCGTCGTCCTTCTTGAATGGATCTTCGCGAATAGCAGCGTGCGCCTCGGTGTACAGATCCTCAAGACCATCCGCCTCGATCTCGCTTTCGATGTACTTGACGAATTGAGACTTGTAGCGTTCTTCATCATCATCTGCCAGTGTTTCCATGTACTCCGCGACGTGGCCGCCGAAGATGTACTTGCGCAGGACGTCGGCATCCAGTTCCTTGCTTTCCGGGTCATAGCCGGGGAATCGTTTCTCGTTGTGGGGAATGTACAATCCGCCATCAGAAGCTCCTTTCATCGCACCAAAGACACGAGCACCCGTAGAAGTACGGTGCAGACCGACGTCGAGGAAGCACTTGAAGGGACGACGTTCCTCGCCATCCTCGTCGGCAGCCTCTGTGAGCTTGTATTCTCCATCGGGCTCTTCCACACCAGTGAACTTCTCATCCAGGTCCAACTTCTTGAGAGCACGACGAGCCAACAGCAGGCCAGTAGCGTACGCGGCAGACCAGTTGGTCAGGCCATTGTTGATGCCATATCTCTTGAGCTCGTGCGAGTAGGCGGCAACAAAGACTTTATCGCCAGTGATTTCTGCGGTAACCAGTTGGCAGATGATGTCTCGGTTGGTGAAGCGGACGACAAGGCGGTACTTGGGGGCGTTGTACTTGTTCTTGGCCTGGCTGATCAAGCGCTTGCGAGCATAGTAGTCGGTCTAATTTTCAGTCGTCAGTCATCAGCTTGTAAGACGAGGCGAGAAATGCAGTTTTTCGTCACCGTACCTTGCCAGCCCGTCTGCGCTTGTACTTGGTCTGGAAGCGGGAGTAGTAGGGGGAGTTCTTGACGCTGAAGTAGTATGCGTTAGCTTTGGAGACCACAAGGGACCTGTAAAGGCCTCGGGCTCTTTGAACTTACAGCTTCGTGAAAGGCATGTTGCCGACTTGAGACTGTCCCAAGAATTATTGTGGTTCACTATGAAATCCCCGAATCAGCATTTTGCGCTGCAGACCCAATTCCGCAGCAACATGCAGGGATTCTCTCATACATCTTGTCGTTGTAAAGCAGAGACTTTGTCGAAAGTCTCGGTTGTGCAATGGAGGACTCAAAGAAGTTGAGATGACCTGGAGGATATCGAAATGCGAAGTGCGAGTCCCAAGTGTGAGATGTGTGCGCCGCCAAGATTTTCAATTGTGCGCTCAAACCGGGGTGCTTGGTTGGTGGGGGTCGTTTTAGCTCAGCCTCGTGCCTCGTGCCTCGTTGACCTTCCGAAATCACCTCTCCCAAGCTCTCGGCTACACAGTGCACTTCATAATGTTTGAAAATTGAGGCAAGCAATCCAAGCTGGAAAAATTACAGTGGCTGCGAAATAAATCTGGGCTCATTGCCCTTGGCCAGGAACATCAATGACCAAATGAACAGAGATTTAAAGTGACAGGGCTACATGTTTACCCAACTAGCCAAAAGGCTCTGTAGACGATACAGCGCTGAATAGCGAGGCATATGAGACACTAACATGTCGAGATTCACACTCATCACAAGTGCGCCTCCGCTCCAAATTTCGAGATTGCGACAAGTCGGAGTCGCCCGAGAGATGAGAAATGGAAAGTCTTGTAGAAGGCGCATCCTCTGAGGGGATGTTGAGATAGTAGCATTGATAGAAGAGCATTGCCGACCCCGGTGCAATATGCATGGGATACATTAGTGAAGCAGGTTTTCGACTGTGGAAGGAAGTGGTCATATGTTGTGTCTTGAAAGGCCGTCTTCTCTAAGCTATGAAGTAAGACGGAAGAGCGACAGAGAGCAATGTAGAGAACCGCTTCGAGAGGGGTGCCTCATACAAAGAAATTTGGGAACAAGACTACATGACATTCCCCCCAGATTGTCTGCAAGCGTTGTTCATTAATTGACCGTCGTCCGCCAAGTGCAACCTGTAGATGCAGCAGTAGTGAATGTGAGTCCTAATGTCTTGGCGTGATATTGGAGCAGGTCGCCCAACCTACTTCAAAATTACATTTTCTTTCGTCGCCATCCAGGTCGTCGTCGTTGACAAGCGACAGCGATGGCTTCCCCGTTGTCTTCCCGTGGTGGTAAGTTTGCCGAAAACCAATCAGTGCTTGTCCCTTGCAGTCGGGCCGAGCCGTGCAGATCACAGCCTATCCTCGTGCAGCGGAATAACAGAAAATCCGTATTCCGATGGCCTTTTCTCCATCATGGAGTTCTGGATGTCCAAGACTTACCTGACTTTCTTCTCATTTCAGATTTACCACCAACACCACCAACACCACGCCTTCGCCCTACCACCACCAACCTCCCTCCACTGCGCGGGCATAGTCGTCGTTCTACCCTACTGACGGCACCTTTGATTTCCACAGGCTACGCCACCGCGCTTCTTCGCTCTCCAGTCAGCTCTCGTCGCCAATCTGACAGTGGACCCAGTCAGGAAAGTGAGGAAGACGATGAACTTCTCCACCAACTCACCAAGGCCCAGCTCGTCAAACCGAATGAACTGAGCCAAGTTCTCCAAGATCACCTCAACAGTCAGGCCTCTGTCATCGAACAAGAACCTGACCTTGACCCAGACTCAATCTACATCAACATACGCGGTTACAGTCCTTACAGCGACATGGCCTCTCCAAACGCGTTCCCGTCCCTTGACACCTCTCTCCCTCCTGCTGGCAACCGTGCGTCGGCAGCTTCTCCTATCGGTCCTTCCTCCATCAACGGCAGCAATGGCATCAACGGCCCAGGGTCGGGTGCGGCAGCCGCTGCAGGCTACATGCCTCCTCTACCGGTCGGCCACCAGCAAGACCTGAATCACCTCTTCAACCAAATTCAAGAGTTGGGAGCCCTTTTGAGAAGCAACCGCGAGAAAGTCAATTCCATCACTCGCAATGCTGAAGAAGTCGCGAAACGCGCAAATGGGGCGCTTACAGACGGCGAACCAGCCCAGCCAGACAATGACAGTAAGTTACACTGCAAGCCGTCGGGTTTTCTCGTCGGCAACTCAACTAACCCGACTTTCTTTTTCTAGAAGCACGTGTCCGTGAGCTCGAACTCGAACTTGCCAAGCAGAAGCAGCTGGTTGAACTTTACAAGCACGAACAAAAAGAGAACACCGGCTTGATTGCCATGTACGAAGAAGCAATGGGGACGGCTGTCGAACAGATCCGAAACTACTGCGGCGATATCGAGGGTCGATTCTTGAGACAACGCAAACATTACAACGACCTCTTGCAGCAGGAGAAGGACGACCACTTGCAATCTCGCCTCGATAGGGACCACTGGTATGCGCAAACACTCAAGGTGTGTGAGATGATTAGGACAGCGCATCGGTTGAGGACGGATGAGTGGTGTGAAGAGTACACTGTCATCGCGGGGTTGCAAGGCGAGGTGAGATGCCTCAGACGATGCATGGGGATGGAGGCAGAGAAGCCAGAGGAGGAAACCGGCTGGCCATACTTGAAGGACTTGCCTCTCCCTGAGTAAGCATGAATTGAACGAAATGACGAAAGCACATTGCATTGGGAGCTGGCACTGGCGCAAACAGGATGAGCGAACGGAAAATTGCATTGCTGGCGCAAATCAGAGGCATCACAAGTTGATGCATTGACGTCGTCATGACGACGACCAGAAATAACACTGAATTATTCCACAGCCTCTTGTGCCTGCATCTCTCTCGCCACGTCGTTGGACATGTCGTCGATCATTAAATCATCTTTCGTCGTGCAATCTCTTATGCAGTGATAGGCGGTCTGAGGCCACTGAAGGCAAAGCTGGTAGCGGCTCGGTAGGGGGAGGTCCTGAGGACGGGGTCCTGGGACGGATTAGGCACGGCACACTCTTCTGCCGCGGGAGGACGGATTGCTGTGGCGTCTTTGCCAGTCGCTGTGGGGATGGAGGGTTGACTCGCCACGCGCCGTCTTCTTCGACAGAGCAGATTCGCGATGTCTGCGGCTTCTCGTTCGGATTTGCAGCCATGGCTTTTCCCAGGGACAGGACTTGGCCGTGTCTGCGTGGGTCGCGCGCCGGTGGTGGCGGGCGAGTAGCCACCTCGGCTCTCTCCGCGTGTGTTGTTGGTCTGCTTGGACTCGGCAGATTGGGCAGAGTGCACTGGATGGTGGTGGTGCTGATGCTGCTGCTGCTCGCGACGGAGGTGGCAGCTGCGGGGATGGGCGGTGAAGGTATGCCGTTTATAGGCAGCTTTTGCAGCCCTGTCGAGGGAGTCCGCGGGAAGAGACTATATGACGCGGCCCTCTTCCGACCCCCCTCTGCCGAATCCTGTGTGTACGTGGAGCTTCTGCTTCGGATGCTAGCGGGCCGCGAGGACGAGGACGGCGACGTCGGCGTGGTACACCGGCTGCTGTTACTGGTGGTGGTCTCGGAACGGTCGCAGCGATAGCGAGCAGATGTCTTCCTGATGTGGCCTGACTCCGGCAGGGGGGCGATGGTTGAAATACGTCTGTCGTCACCACCGAACCGGTACGGGGATGCAGGTATCGGCGGCAAGGGTTTCTGCACGGGCAGGTCACGGCTGTCACTGGGTATCCCAGCCAAAGAATCCAGGGCAGTCATCGGACGAGCCACATTTTTGGTGGTCTCGTTTGGTGTCGGCTTGTACATGGACCAGACTCCCGCGTTATACGGTGTCGGTGTGGACATTGCTGGCCAGGAGTAATCTCCGGTTGTTGGGACTTTATCACTATCGGCAATCGTAACAAAGGGCTCGGGAGCACACGAAGAGCTTGCATAGCTGGAGAAACTTGTGTGAGTGGTATAGATTGAGTTATTGTCTGCTGCCAATGACGGCGCGGTCGGGGATTCGACACTGTTGAGCGTGTGGACTAACGAATCCGCGGTTGAGCGAGACACGTTCCGGGAAGTCTTGCTGTACATTGCTGGTTGTGCGAGTACAGGAGATGCCAGCTCTTCGTAGGCTTGCTGCGTGACGAGTGGTCGTGGGTATGTTGGATGAATGCTTGTCAGGTTTCGCTGAACCCTCAGCCGCCGGACTTGCTTCTCATCTTGCTGCGACGTGCACGGAGTTGGGCTCGACAGAGTCGTGTTGGCGTTGGATGCTTGCGCACGAGCGATCTCTGGAGCTGAAGCAACCGGCCCCGAATACACAGATTGGGATATGTTGGGCCGAACAGAGGTCGAATCGAGTCTGTTTTGCCTCGTAAACTTCTCCAACTTTGTGCGACTAAGGAGTGCCATGAACCGAGATTTTGCACTTCTCTCAGAAGGCCACCACCCAGATACCTCCTCCGAGGATGCCGTGGACAATGATGCCTTGATGGACATGGCGGAAACGATGACTGGGGAAAGCAGAACGACGAGATTCCAAGGTCAGGAGCACTATTTAGTAGGGTAGCGAGTAGTTGGCACGGTTGCTACGTCGCGCATCGAGCTATGGCGTGAGACCGAAGATCTTCAATAGACGGTGCTCAGGGACGGAACACTCTCTGTCTGGGATAAAGGGATGCAATTGGATGAACAAGAGATGTTGGACCGGCACCCCTAGCTTCAATACCGTCGATCGTTGTTTGTTGTGGCGTGGCTGTATATCTGCGTGCTTGATGCCTGATAAAAAAAAGGACATCTGATTCAAGCGCGGCCTTGGAGGAACTATGATAATGAAATCAGCTGTGCCTTTATAGAGCTACTCAGGCTGAATATAGCGGCCAGAAGAGTAAAAAGCATCCGGCCACACTTGAGGTGCCCGTTTAAGCGGAGGGAGTGAGTCAAGAAGGGCAGGTCAATGGGCAGCTGAGATGGAGCATCGAGTCTGGTATAACTGGACTAGGTCCGTGCCAGCACACATAACAAGCTCTGACGATCTGGGCCCTGTAACAAACCGCGGCATGTAGGGTGTCACGAGTGACAGGCGAGAAAAATGAAAGTATTGGCGTATTGACAACAACCTGTTGTCTGCAAGGGAGAAACATTTTCCAGTCTCAGACGTGGTGTACGCATTTTGACAGAGAATTAGGTTAACACCCTTTTCGATCAGCGCTGGGTTGTTGAGTGATTAGCAAGCTGACTTGCACCGCACGCGGGATCCAAGGTCCAGAGAGTCCAAAGAGACAGACAACTTGCTACAATGAACGATGAAAAGAATACTTGACTGGAGTGTTGGCCGTTGCAAACTGGGCCAATAAGGTTGATGAACGGTGGTCAGAGCTCAAAGAGATCCTTGAATGCGTCCAAGGAGGGTGCCTTCACCACAGGAGGCAAGAAGCGGTAGTGGCTGTCTGCGAGTGACGTCTTGGAATCGAGATGACGATACTTGACAGCTGGAGTACCCATTGACGAGATAGAACCCGGAGAGTGTAGAGCATGCACCCCTTGCTACAACGCCAGAGCCTAATAGAGCCACGGGCCATCTTGGCAAGGTCCGTGATGGCTCAAGCAAGGAGGGAATGTGGCTTCACATTGCTTGTGTTTCCCAAAGGAGAGACGTCGAACTAGTGAGATGTCAACAAGCTGTGCATCTGAAGGGGGAGAAAGGGAGAGGATCGGGAGGGGTTGAAGTGTGGGATGAGTGAGCGAACAAGGAAGCCAGTCGAAAAGAGAGTGACCGTAAGCAAGGCTCGATTGTGAAGGGAGTAACCAGGGATGAGAAAGACGTTGCAGCACTTGGTGTTGGTGGTGTAAGTGTCGAAGTGTTTTGTGAGGTTGCATAATTGTGGTCTGAATACTTCGCCGTAGTATCAGGTACACCGATGACGTAAACGGCAGAGTACCAAGCCAATACAAGGCCACGAGGCTGCGCCGTAGACTGACCGTGCTTGTCTTCCATTGAATCAACCCCTCAATCCCTTCGCGTTGGAACTTCAGACCACAAAACCCTTCCCACACGCATTCGCATTAATGGCTCGGATACTGATAACAGGCTCATCAGACGGTTTAGGTTCCCTCACTGCCCGTGCACTGGTCCAGAGAGGGCATTCCGTGGTCCTTCATGCGAGAAACGACCGACGAGCCCAAGATGCGAGGGCTGCTTGTCCTGGCGCCGAGACATGTGTTGTCGCCGATCTCTCCGACATTGCACAGACCAAAACCATGGCTCAAGACATCAACAAGCTTGGCGCTTTTGACGCGGTAATCCATAATGCTGGCCTTTATACAGGTCCCTACCGAAGGACCAAGGAGGGTTGGCCCAGTATCTTTGCGGTCAACACTCTAAGCCCCTATATCCTTACCTGCCTCATCGATCCTAAGCCACAGCGACTCGTGTTCGTGTCATCTGGCCTTCACAGTGGTGGCGACCCTGCGTGTAAAGATATCACATGGCAAGAGCGTGGAGAAAAAGGCTTCAGAGATTTCCAAGCGTACTCGGATACCAAACTGCATGATATCCTCCTGTCCTGTTTCTTTGCAAGGAGATGGCCTGATGTGAAGAGCAACTCGCTCGACCCGGGCTGGGTGGCTACTAAGATGGGGGGCGCTGGGGCAACAGGAGACATCAATGCTGCAGTTGATACCTACGTGATGTTGGCAGAAGGAATTGGTGAGGCCAAGGATGTCTCTGGCAAATACTGGTTTCATTGCAAGATAAGATCGCCCAAGAGAGAAGCAACTGCTGAGGCTGTTCAGGACAATCTCATTCGACAGTTGGAAGAGCTCACGGGGGTTCAACCTGACTAATGTTACAAGTAAGATGTGGATCACGAGTCAACGCCGTGAAAGGGCACATCGACTCCAGGGAAGTTGTGCCTCTCTCTATGCCGGACCCATCTGGAGCCAGTCTCCCCAAGAATATAAATAGAATCACACAGGCACGACGAGAAGAGTTTACGAGTCTACCTAATTATCTGGCACCAGTTCCAGGCCTCCCAGATGGAGATGAAGATGATCGAGTTCCGCCCCCTTTGATGTGCAGGGTGAAGGGTGGACGTGTGTGTCCCAATTAGGTAATCATGATACGGGATTCGCCCGAATCAAGCGATATCCTGGCAGCCAATCAACGATATGAAACACGAGGATCCATTTCCCTATTACGATGCTTACAACTTCCTCGTACTTGTACCTCGTAGTCCCTGCAAAAGAACCCCCTTTCTCACTCACTCCTTCGTGTTCCTTCGGTCTCTGCATTTCTTGGTTTTTGATTAGTCATTTGCCTATCATGTTCCTCCTTTATGCGTCCTGGTCGTTGGTGTTGGCTTATTTACTCTGGACATTGATACGATTCACAAACAACTACTTGGAAGCTAGGAAGATCGGATTGCCAATTCTGGTCTCCCCAGTCAATCCAGGAAGCCCGCTATGGCTGCTCACAAAGGAGCGACTCATACCGCTCATGGCGTCTTTACCGTGGGGACTAGGAGAATGGGCCACCAGGGCAGAAGTCGGCTGGACATTCTCCCAAAGATACTCGGTGCACGCAAAGTACGGCGAGGCATTTACCATTGTCTCGCCCGGGACAAATGAGATCTATATTGCGGACCCCTCAGCCGTCGAGGATCTACTCCGACGGCGTAATGACTTCATCAAAGACCCGGCCATGTACGGAATGCTGAATTTCTATGGCCCCAACCTTGACACCGTCAATGGCAAGGTATGGGATCGCCACCGCAAAATCACCGTCCCACCATTCAACGAACAGAACAGTGCTTTAGTTTGGCGGGAAAGTGCGGAACAAGCAGACCAGGTGCTGGAAATCTGGTCCGCGAAAGATCTTGTCACAAGCACACAGCCAGACGTGCATGCCGTTACCCTCAACGTGCTGTGCGGCGCCGGCTTTGGTTTACATAGCAGCTTTATTGATTCGAAGCTGCCGGGAGGCGAGAATGAGGCGCAGACACAGCTAGGATATCAAGAGAGCCTACGAACGCTGCTTTCCAATATCGTCCAGCTGGTTCTCTTGAACCTTCTCAAAAACGCCGGTGTTCCACGCTGGATGTTCTTCGGCAAAATGCAAAAGCTATACGTGGCGTACGAAGATTTCAAGAGATATATGGGTGAGATGCTGGCGAGAGAGAAAACGGCTTTTGAACAGGGCGATCTGACGAGGCATAACCTCATGAGTGCGTTGGTTCGAGCCTCTGAACAGTCGAATGAAACGGCACGAACCACAAAAGATCCTGCCACCGCACCAGCAGGATTGTCCGATGACGAGGTGTATGGGAATGTCTTCATCTACAACCTCGCGGGCCACGACACCACAGCTGCGACTCTCCATTTCGCAATCACGCTGCTCGCCGTCTACCCCGAATGGCAGACGTGGATCGCCAAAGAGATTGACCAAGTCCGCAAAGCTGACCAGTCGGGTATGTGGTATTATGAGGAGACCTTCCCCAAGTTGGAGCGGTGCCTGGCGCTCATGGTAAGCATCGACGGTCCCCCGAAATCAACGTACGAAAGTGTGGCACTAACACAAGAAATGTTGAAAAGTACGAGACAATCCGATTATACGGACCCGTCGTCATGATGCCTCGCTACACGGGAGACTCTGCCCAACATCTCAGCATCCAAGGAAAAGAATACATCTTACCCGCCCGCACCTCGGTGACGCTCAACTTTGCCGCCCTCCACACCCATCCACGCTACTGGGGATCAGACCCCACGCAGTTCCGGCCTGACAGGTGGATCGTGCCCGATGAACGCGGGAAGGAAGAGGAGGAGGAGGGAGAGACCAGCGCCGTTGACGACTCCTCGCCCCGCCTGTTCCAACCTGCTCCCGGATCATTCGTGCCCTGGGCCGCCGGACCAAGAGTCTGCCCGGGCAAGAAATTCTCCCAGGTCGAGTTCGTCCGCGTCATTTTCGGCCTGTTCGCCAACGGCTCGCGGGTCGAGCTGGTCTTGGAACCGGGCGAGAGCGAGCAAGCGGCAAAGCAGAGGATCATGCAGATCGTGAACGAGGCAAGGGTCGAAGTGACGCTGAAGATTGTCGATGCCGAGAGAGTCAAGCTCCGGTGGTCCAAGAAGGGTGGTCCAGTCCAGTCCTGAGTCCCGCGCTCCGAGTTCTGAGTGATGGATGGACGGATGGACGGGTAGGATCGTGGATTGATGTATGGGTCGGAATCGCAAGCGCCCGAGACTAAAAGGTATATGGCACCACCCGACACTTCATTTGACGGGCTTCGCACCTAAAAGTCCAGGAGAGGATGAAATGCGGTCTATCAAGGGACAATAAGAAGTTTAACGAAGGATCTTCTCACATTCCCCTAATAACCTGTACAAAAAGACTGCGTGCCAAAGGGACGGATGAAAAGGAACCACGCCGCAGAAACGTCCAAACCCAATATCAGGGTCGATCCAGACACGTCCACGAATCCAGCCTGCAAGTTTCAGTTGAGAACAGCGCTCCAATCCTGCTTCTTGATCCAGTCCTCCACCGAAGGCAGTTTCACCTCTACACCGAGCTATCGCGAATGGTCAAGTCAGCATTTGGGTCCATATTGCCAGGAACCATCCGGAGAGATGGTGTGAGAGCTTACAGCATGTGGGTGAACGACGGATGGGTCGTCGCGTCCTTCATACCCAAACTCGACAAAGTAGTTTGTGTTGTCCGACAACTCCAAGAGCAGGTCTTCGGGGAGAGAGCCCCAGATGCCCGTGCCGGCAGCGACCTCGTCCATGGCCAGGATTTTGGTCCTCATCTTCACACCCAGCGTGCGCGACAGGAGCGCGACGAACTCATCCATGGACATCCACTCGCGGTACGCGATGAGGTTTTTTCCAGCCTCAGGCAGCGAGATGAGGGCTTTGGTGAAAGGGCCGGTGTCTTCGTCGGCAGCGATCAGGGGCAACTTCCCGTCCGTTGGCCCGGTATATGAGAAGGTGTAGACCCCGTCTGCGTCCTGTGGTGTGGAATATCGTCAGGCTCAAAATACTCATTCGGCCGTATGCCGGAAGTAACCCAAACTCATCCAAGGGAAGATTGAGGGACAAGTTGAGGGGGGAGGGTGGGGGGGGGGGGTGCTTCATATGCTCACCTTTTGCGGCCGCATGAATGGATACGTCAAGACATTCGACAAATAAAACCCGACCTGGATGATACTCGTCTTCTGCCACAGGTCTGGGTACGTAGCCTGGCCGTACTCTGCCGCACGAGCCTTGCTGTCGAAGTGGTATACGTGCGTGTACTTGCCGCGCGACCACTTGGTCGCGTTGGACAGGCCCGAGAAGATCAACCGCTGGAGCCCGTGTGTCTGGGCGGCCGCGTCAAAGACATTCTTGCCCTGCTGCTCCTCCCTTTGCCCAACCCACACGTTCTTCGGTTGGCCCGTGGCCGTGGCCTCGGGCGTGGTGGCCGGGTCGTAGTAGGCGCCCCAGAAGTCCGTCACGGAGAAGATGGCGGTCGCACCCTGAAACGCCTGCACCAGAGAGGCCGGGTCGTCCAGTGACGCTGACACCACCTCCTGCACGCCCTTGGACCGCAGTTTCTCGGCCGCGGCGCTGTTGGCGTTGCGTGTCAACGCCCGCACTTGCCAGCCGGGCTCCTGGAGGAACGTGTCGACGACGGAGCCGCCCTGTGTGCCTGTGGCGCCGACCACGACGATGAGTTTGGACATGATGATGGTGTTGCAGCGCGGATTGAATCTGGCGAGAGAAAAAAACAACAACAAAGAAGCGGAGGTGTTGTGTTGTCGAATGGATTGGGTGTTTATGTAGATATATAGAAAGGCCGGGTCTCTGAGAGACTATACCAAGGTCCAATTTGATTGTCTTTCTACACATCCACACAGTACGTTCATCTGGCTCTTTTATACTCTCTGTAACGAGCGCATTGCTTTCCACCCCATGGTCCCAGTATTCGCCGCCATCGTTATCAGGACCATACGTACCGATCAGTACGTTTCGTCAGGTGCCCTTTCGACCGCCGCGCGCGGACGGACGAAATTCCCCCTGAGCTGACCGACGTCTACTTGTATGTCATTCATCGAGATCAAGGCCGGACTTGTATCTCCCCCTCCCTAGGACACAGGGAGAGACGTCGGGTGAGGAAGGAGGGATGGATAGACACCGAAAATGGGCAGGGGCGTGAGGGGCGCTTGGCTCGGGCAGATATCTCTCCGATTGGAAGGTCGCAGACGAGATGCGGCCTGGTTGATGTTCCAGCTCCGGGGGGGGGGCGCGTTCGGATTGGTTCGAAAAGAGCCTCCTACTTGTAGTGAGTGAGGGAAATTTCGGTTTGCGTGTATTTCAGGATCTTTGACGAAGTATCTCTCTCTCTCTCTCTCTCTCTCTCTCTCTCTCTCTCTCTCTCTATCTCTTCAGAGGGAGTAGGTCGGCAACGCTACATCGGCTGGGATCCTAACAGCGATGCCCGGTGGATAAATATGCGCTCGGTTGCATGCATAAACTATCGTCAAAAGAGGCCCTCTGCGCCTGTGCACGCCACGCCACACATATATAGATAGATAGATAGGTATGGACGACGCCAACAACACCCACTTTATGAAACATTCTCCCGCCAATCAATTCTCTCTGCCCAGTGCGACTTGAATGCACAAGTCTCTCCATGACATGAAGTCATCGGACGTCCTTCTTCCAGGGCCCGAATTTCACGTTGAACCACCCGAAATAAATGCGCGCGATGAAACATTGTGGGCATGTATGCTTCCGTACCTGGCTGATCTGCGGCTATGCCAGTCCCACTGCGAGGACTCATGCTCTGGGACAGATGACTCTTGTTTTAAATGGCATGATCCCGATGACGGCCCGGCCAGTGATAGTCCATGTCGGTGGGGATGTTCTTGCGCAAATGTTTCATGTAGGTAGGCGGGACGCGGCCCAGCCTCTGCCATCGATCGCTCGGCGGTATGGAATGCTCTTCGTCATGGTGACTTAGAAGGTCCTCAATGGCACTCGCCCACTTGATCAGTTTGTCTTCCTGCCAGGCAGTGTGCTGCAGTGTCAGCGGCACGGGCATGCCGTCCGGGTCCAGACCGACGGGGATCGTCATGATAGGGTAGCCCGCCTGCGCGGCAATCTGGATGCCCCCGGCCTTGACGTCGCAGAAGAGGAGGGCGTCTAGGAGTTGTTCTCCTTCCTCTTCTCCATCATCGCAGGTAGATGGTCGACGCCGGCTGCTCGGCGGACATTTCAACGCCGCGTCGATCCCGTTCTCGCGGCATTGGGATTGAATATGCTTCAGGGCGGCGTGATACGTCTTGTCCTTGATCCCTTGGGTCTCGACGCATTTGCGAAAGAGGATCTGGCCGTCGGGAAAGGCGGGTAGATCGGCTTCATGGCCGCCTTCGGTGCCCCGGTTGTCGTCGTTGAACCGCACGACGTCCTCGAGAGTCTTGATGGGCGTGTTCTTCAGTTTACTCAGGTAGCGGTTCATGAGGTAATAGGTCTGGACTTTGCTGACGGTGATTTCGGATATTTCAGGATTAGATTCGCCGTACCGTTCCCTGAGTGGTTGGAGTTAGCGGTATACCTCAAAGGATAGGAGAAAATCTTGAAGGAGATCGATCAGGGGGTAGGTTGGATCTCACCAGTCCCAAATCCCGTGTTTGCCTAATCTCTCCTCCGCGCACGGCATGTCAACGGGGATGATCTCGGCTCCGGCCTGCTCGATAAGATGCAGGACTTTCTCCGCAACCAGTCTCTGAGGGTCCGGAGCAGCGTCCCAGAAACACTTGCTCGGGAGACCGAACCTGGCCCCCTTAAGCGCGTGCCTGTCGGCGAGGCACGCATAGTAACTCTCTGGCTGACGTCTTCCGGGTTGGGTACTGAACTTGTCGTCGGGGTCAGGACCCGCAATCACATCGAGCCCGCGGGCAACGTCGGCGACGCATTTGCCGTAGTGGCCGACAGAGTCTTGGGTCTCTGAGATGGGAATGACTCCTCCACGCGATGTCAGGCCGACGGTCGGCTTGATCCCCGCGACGCCACTGACCATGCCGGGGCTGATGATGCTGCAGTCGGTTTCTGTGCCGAACGCGAGGGGGACAATGTTTGCCGAGACGCTGACCGCACTACCGGAGCTGCTGCCGTCTGTTCATCTAAATCAGCGCTCGTGCTGGGACCGGACTGAGAGAGGTCGAACAGATGCTTACTTGGGGAGCGAGTCAACATGTACGGATTCCGACACTGGCCACCACGCGCAGAGTATCCCATTGAATAGACGCTGCCTCTCATTCCTGCCCACTCATCAAGATTGGCTTTGCCGAGGATGACCGCGCCAGCCTGGCGGAGAAGATGGACAATGTGTGCATCCTTTGGGACGATACAACCGAGCAAGGCCCAGGAGCCTGCTGTCGTTTGCATCTTGTCTGCAGTAGCCATGTTCTTTATCACACAGATATGGTGTTAGCCGTGCATCGGGGGGGGGGGGGGGGGGGGCTCATTAGCGACTACCTACATCCTTAACCAGCACGGGGATGCCATGAAGCGGACCCCTGACGGTGCCTTGCTTCCGTTCGTCATCCAGCGCCCGTGCATGTTCGATAGCATCGGGATTGGTTTCGATGACGCATTCGAGATACGGATTGGTCTGGGTGTGGCCAGTCAGCGTGATCGAGAGACTTGCACACAACTTGGTGAGGTATCACCTTTTGCACCCTCTCCAAGCAGACTTTCACATATTCGACCGAGGACAGCGCTCCAGTGGAATAGAGATGTTGAAGCTCATCCACCGAGACCTCGTGCAGGTCCAGGCCATTGTAGAGAGGCAGTCGGAATACCTCGGGCAGTTCGTGCTGTGATGACCCAGTAGGTTTGGAGAGTACAACAAAGTCATCACCGTCAAAGCCCGAGCCAGTTTCCTCGCGAACTCGAAAACGTGCCATGACTTGTCGTCCGGAGTTGAGCGGCCGTCCAGTGGGTGAGGCTGAGATAAGACGGGCGTTGAAGTCGATGGAGATGATCTCTGACGACGCGTTAAACCGTTATTTTAGGATCCACCCTGCATTATGTGTCCTGCAGAAAGACACAGTCTGGTATGGAAAGTGGTGAGAAGAGGTGAGGCATCATTTGAATTGCGACGTCGAATGGTGGACTTGAGCGACTCGAACGGGTGACAAGAGGAAAATATTTTGGACTGACAAGACAGCTGTTGGGAGACATGCCGCAGTTGGTTGTAATACCGCGGCCGTGAGTGGCTGTGACAACAAAGACCCACATATATCTTTTGTCAGACTGAAATACTTCCTCTTCTGGCATCGGGAACTAAATCGAGTTGAAGATAAGATCAGTGCCATGCTCGGTACGGCGAGGTCTGAGGAGGATCTAGACGCTTTGTAGACTCCGAGTCCATATGTCGGTCAGAAAATGCTTTTCTCAGGTTGCCTCAAGATATGGGTATCTCAACCATGATCCTCCAAAAAAACATATAGCTCAATGCCATTAAGAAAATGCGCTCAAGTCGTTGCTCATGTGCCAGAAACAGAAAACGCTCACAAGACCCAAATGGGAGTGCGTACATTAGTGTGCAGCATTAACCACATAGAAAAAAAAAACTCGTCCAGGATATTCGTGGGCTGTCACAGCCCGGCCTCCAGCGTCTCCGCCAACAGCGCCGCTTCCTCCCAACTCTGCCGCATGCCTTCGGCGTAGATGCGGTCGAGATAGAAAAACTTCAGCAGAACTTGGCGGACATCCTCCCAGCTCTGCAAATGGAGCACTCTAGAGACCCGCGCGAGATTCAGGACAAACCACGGCCTCTCTCGCTGTCCCGCGGATATGTACGCCCCGAGCAGGAGAACCCAGACGAAGAGTTCATAGTGCGGGCCCCAAAGACCCTTCAAGTCGGAAGCTTGCAGGGCCGCCTTGAGTTGCGCGGTCAGTGCCCGGTTGAGGGCGAACTCCGGGCGCGAGATCTGGAAGTTGCTGAACCAGAAAATCAGCATCGCCAGACGACAGGCCTCCTCCTTGTCGCTGGCCGGCTCTCGCGGCTCAAACGGCGCGGACAAGGCTGCGTACCGGAAATGGTAGCTCTTGGCGTTGATGTACTCGTTCTCCTCTGGCACGGGGACCAGCTGCTTCTCGTGGTAGTATTCCCGGTATTGGACGACGTCCTTCATGTCCCGAAACGCTTGTGATATTCTCCAGTCCATGATGGTATCGATTTCCGGGGTCAAGAGCCCCATGCCCATTTTTTTGACATCCTCGCTCACGTTTTGCCGGATTTCTTCGACCAAGCTCGCAGGGAGGGCAGACAGGGTCGACGTCGGAGGAGCCGCAGGCAACGATCGTGTTAGGGCAGCACACATGTACGAGGTCCTGTCACGACAGTTAGATCCCGATTGATTCTGCAATTTTGGGGAGAAGATCGAGATAATCTCACGAGAGAATGAGCTCGGTAGCATGAGGAGGTATCCCATGGTACCCGCCTCGCCAGGCGATCAGCTTTTGCAGTCCAGAAACATGCGCAAAGATTTCTTTTGAATTTCCCGTTATAACCTGCTCCGAGAAAAACCCATCAGTAAGTCGTTGTTGCGGTGAGTGAGGCTGCCTGGTAACAAAAGTCCCACATACCTCGATCGAAAGCAAACACATCATGGCAAAAATGGTCGAAGCCTGCGTGGCCTTTTCCATCGATTTCATGGTTTCATTTGCAATCCTCACGGCGTTCACTTTGTACGAGACAAAATCCGGTACGCTGCGGTTTTCGAGGTCTGCTTCGGTGAACGTCGTCTCGATCGAACCACTTCGTAGCTCGCCCAAGCGCGAACTGCGCTCGGCCGACGAAATTGCCAGAAGCGAGTACAGCACCAGTGGCTCTTGTGCAGCGTTTTGGAAAGCCCATCGACTTTGGATTTCGGCTTGGTGTCGCGTGGGAAATACACTGGGTATCATCACTTCGGAGACTGTTGGAACAAGTTAATATCTGCCAAAGCCTGTGACCGTTGGCTGCGGGTTGCCTTCTTTAGAATTGCGATCTTTGAGATGTGGAAAAAGAAAAAAAGAGCCGGCTCAACGCTTCCACAGCTGGCTACGAGCATGGAAAGCAGCACGGGAGCTGCTGGGACGCTTCGAGAGGATAATTTCCACAGGGAAAAGAGAGATAAGGCCATCTAAAAAAATTCGCTGGTCCATCTGACAAGCCCAGCGCAGACAAATGCATCAGCCAACAGAGTACTGAGAGAATAGACCACTTACAATGGCGCAAAACAGCATTCATGCTTGGTGTAATATGTACAGAGCTGAGATTGAAAGGGTCAAGGAGAGTGTTATTCAGCGAGGAAGTGATAGAGGGTTGAATCAAGCGACCCGCATGACCAGCATCCAGCCGTTGTAGAATTTGTGTAAGCATAGACCTCACCGACGTGGCCTCGACCTGAGAAGCCTCCCGCCGAGCGATTTCTGTCGATACATTCTGTGACTGTTGCTGAGCGGTGATGGCCTCACGAACTTCCGCTCCACGGATGCTGCTGTAGTGCCGTAACCGGTCCAAATGCGCATGGTCATTTTCTGGAGGGGATTCCGCTCGTGCTGAGGCCGGTGGTTCGCGACCAACAACCTCCGCTGGGGGACTGAGTGATGATCGTGGTGCTGAAGAGCTTTCACGACTGATCGATCGTCGTGATTGCAGAGGGTTCCGTCGCTCAAGCGTCACAGGAGAGGTGGGTTGAGGCTCGATAGGACGCGGTTGCAACTGAGGCTCACGTCGATATCGTCCTATATTCGCCGCTCCTGTCGTCGTCTGCTTCTGTGCGGCCTTCTTGCGGTTTCTATGCGCAGTCTGTTGAATGTGCGCATTGATCGCTCGCTGGTCAGAACGTGGTCGCTGCCCAGTCGAGGACGAGTCGACAAACAGAAAACGGCTGCTTTGCTCGGAAGCCGTCGAGGCTCTGGCACCCTCCTGGTCGATTCTTCGATACTTGTTCGACGACTCGGCTCTTCCGTCTTCGTCGTCTCGGTCTGGCGATCTGGCCCCGGTGCCAGGGTTATGTAGAGAGCCGCGAGCATCATGCTTTGGCTCATTGCGCTCATCCATCCTCAAAGAGGTAAACGCAGGCGCAACTTGAAGAGTTAATGCAGAGATCAATCATTGAGCTTGACGGTAGAGGGAGACTCCGCCCAGCACAGGCTCCATCCCTTCGCCTACGAGTCCATCTGCTACTGTGGCCGGGCTTTGAGAGAGAAGTCTTGTAAAGAGTCCGGCCCAGCTTGGAACCCGCATGGTTGACTTCCAATGGTTGAACAGAAGGGATGAAGTCGACACGCCAACGCTAGGCCGGGATGGGTTTGTGCTCGTTACCAACCAGCGCGTGACAATTTCGCTGGGTTGGACAAAGCGAATCAAGGCTCAGCTGCGCAGCCTTTTTCCCTTTTTGAGTTTCTCGCTCGGACTGCCCAAAAATGCTGTTACCCTGAAGCAATGCTAGTGGGTTTCGTGATGCTGATTTTATTGGCCAGAACCCACATTTATTTGCACTATTGGTAAGCACCAAAGACCACTTGCAGCTCTAGCGTTGATTGGAACAGACTAGTCCATAAGAGGAGTACACTCGAGACAACTTGTGATTGGGCAGAACTTCGATCTGTTTCGGGTCAATGGTTCTCATCCAATCATCACCCCAACGGACACGAAGACGCTCGTTACCATGGGCTCATGCAGAGTCCTCGGACCCCTGAGAAATTCCGAGTCACCCTACCCATCTCGACCTACAAGGACGAATGAGCAGAGCCCGGTAAGATGACGGGGACGAGGCCATCGCAATTTGTGAACCTCTTCGGAGACACGATCTCGTTTCGTGCATCTCGTGCTCCATGCCAGTGATTACAAGAAGGCTAACTGCGCCCTGCGCGTCTTTCAAAGTCCGCAGCAATCTTCTGCACTGCTGGGACCACCTTTTTGCTGCACGCAAAGATACTTGACCCAGGCCAAAGATGAGTATCGTGCTCGCTCAGACTTCTGCGACGCAATATGTCCCCAAATATCTCTTTGTTTCGGCCGACTGCCAGCGAGGGACGGGCAAAAGTCGTCATGTCATGAAAGAATGTAAGAGTCTGCAGTTTTGACCGCCGATAAAATTCTCCTTTGCTGAGACGTCGCTCCTCGATCAGTTCTCCGCAAGCGCAAATCAATCCGCCGCCAGGAGCAATTGGCCGCACGATCGCAAAGCCGTGTGCTTCCCTGGCTACGTCGAGAAGATATGGAACAAATGGGGCCTCGAATAGATTCCTCTCCCGCGGTCATCAGTGGCGGAGGATCCTCCGAGACTCCAAGTGACTCCAGTTCGAGACCTTCTTCTCCTCAGCAAACTCAAAGGACAGTTGGTAGCACAACAGGCCAGTCGCACTCACCATCATGTCTCGCTTCGCCGCGCTCTCTTCTCGACCCAACAGAGCCCCCGGAGAACTGCGTGAACGCTCCTTACAACTCGCATGAGCTGGTTGACTACTGTGAGTTATATCTTCCACCCAGTCGTGGCGATCAAAGACAACTGATGTCGGTTGGCAGTGAACCGTTCCGTTATATGTCGACTGTACGAGACCGACCAGTCGAGTAACGTCAATTCTCCGGCGACCGCCATGGTGAACCATATCATACCTCGCGCAGTGCCGGCGCGAATACTCCTCGCAGTTTCCAGTCTTCACCGTGATATCGACGCAGGGCACCAAACACCGAGCTCAGCAACCCTCAGCTTGATCCTCGAAGGCATCGGTTCGCTAAAAGAGCAACTCAAAAGTCCTCTGGCGGTGTCCGACGACACCATCTTGGCCGTAATCAACCTATGGGTATATGAAGTTACGTTATCGATAGGATCCTCTAAGAGTGGATCGAGCTCCGGGGCCTCCCAGGGGAGAATACTCCCCAAGTCATTGACTGACAATATTCAAACGCATTTGAATGGGCTTCAACGATTCATCGAGTGCCGCGGCGGGTTGCGCAACCTTTCACCAGAGACCCTGTGGCTTCTTGCTTGGTGGGTCAAACTTCAATTGTCTCGAGAAGCCCACTGCTGACTGCTTAGGTGTGTTTGTACACTCCCAGGATATTCCCCTATCGACACCAGGATGATGGCGCCCGACGCTGGCAGAGACGGAGCTCCGCGAGCAGGGGCCAGCACCTCCTACCGCCCGTCGCGGCTGTTTGAGACACTGTCCAGGGTACAAAAGCACGCATCATTGCGTCGTTTTCAGCCCAACATCCTCCACGACCAACCATTTTCACCCCTGAGATCCGTATTGTTGCGATTGAACGTGATGAGACTTGCTCTCCACGGCCAAAAGACGCCGATGAACAGACTCCGCAAGACGACATCGCTGATATCAACGTTACTATTCATCTTCGACGTCTTCCAGGAGGCGACCGACTCCGCTCACGGAGGAAACCCCATCCACAAAGACCAACTGCTTGCCGTCCAGCAGCGATTCGTCGATCATCAAATCGACAAAGAAGGCTCTCTCGAAAAAGCCTGGCACGTCCTCATGACGCAGCAAGAGACTCCGCAGCTGCAACTTCATCTGAGGACTTGGTCGATAGTGGAGATGGTCAATGCGATCAAGCACTTGAATATTTCCACAATCGATGCCCTTTCGCAACTCTTGCTTGGATATCTGCTTCCCGAGACTTGCGACTTCCCGGTCGAGGATTTCAGATGCGAAAAGGTTCTGCTGCAAGTTTACTTTGAACTAGACGGTCTGCCTGATCTCACCTGAACACTTGTCCTGGTTGTGCATACCATGTATTGATATGATAGATTTAGACATAGTCGGGACATGTCAAGATGTCATAATGGCGACATATTACTCATCACGCTGCAGAATGATTTCTCAGGGAAGATCCAGCCCGAAAACGACGATAAGAGCATGAGTCGAACCAAGAAGTTGCGGTCCCATACTAGAAAGATTCACCGTACTTGATTTAATTTGCAGGGACAAGCAAGCAGCCCGAAGCGCAATTCCTTGGCACGACTTTATCTTGGCATTTGACATTCTTCCCGAGTCAATGGATGCGTCCTCGAGAACGGCAAGACACTTCTGGAACAGGAAATTTTTCACATCCTCACGGCTCTTCCGCCTAAAATACACACCCTCGACGGCCAAAGTCCCGCTGGAGTGAGGCCATGGCAGGGCCCATTTGAGCCGGGAACCGTTTCCCCCAACGAGTCCGTAACTGCATTTCCCTCTTGTCGTCCACGAAGCACCCACAATGTCGAGCTCGTTGGTACAACTGCCGAAACACCACGCTGAAGGGGGGTGTGTTTTGAAGACAAACTCTCTCTTGGTTTGGACGGGTCGTGAAACTTGGCTGTTGGAGGCAGAATACCACAAGCACTTTCCGGCTAGATTGGCCCCGTTCGTGGCAGCCAACGACTGGAACTGTGGCCGGAGACGAAACAGATATCACTATTGTGATTGGTAGCATGCTTGTCCAGATCCGAGGCTGTCTCAATCCTTCACACAGGTATTCCGTGTGCCACACTAGTGGCCGACGCCTGATCTCCAGCTAGGACCGCCACCGAGCCCAGCCGACCTCCAACTGTCGGTATTCCCCACGAATTGACCCCAAATTCTCCACAACAACAGTATGCCAAGTATGATCGTCTCGCCGGATATGGTCATCACGAATTGAAGGCCGTCTCCCTGAATACTGGAACGACGCTAATCATGCTGGTTTATATGTGGAACGGTGGAATACCGCGTCGTGGGATCACGGCAGTTGACGAGCTCCATCTGCCGCCCATCAATTCGCTGTCGACATATCTATGTTACATTTCTCTCCGCGATGGGCAACTGGTGTATCAACACCAGGCAGTTCTGCTGTGGCCATCCCAAGGAAAGGCATTATCGTTGCTGCTCAACCTGAACAGTCTCTTCAAACAGCATGGCTGCAGAGGTGGTTAGTGCTCCGGCGGACACGGAGAAACAACTCCAAGAGACGGTTGTTCATCTCGAAGATGCTTTGGCTACTCTCAACATCGATCCCAAGGAAGCCGACGAGGCGTTCGAGTTTCTTCGAGACCATCCGAATGCAGACGGTGTCACCCAGGAAGCCTTGAGTATTCTGGCCGATGAAACGAAACGGAAGAAGCTCTTGCGAAAGATTGACTGGGCCATTCTCCCATGCATGATTGCCACTTACTTTCTGCAATTCCTGGATAAGACGACCATCGGATATACTGCAGTCATGGGACTTCGGGAAGATACCCATCTCGTGGGACAACAGTATTCCGATGTGGCCATGATTTTCGTAAGTTAACCCTGTGAGCTGCAACTGAGCCGGTGTTTCGTGACCTTGCCCACACCGTCGAAGACACTCGTATTCAATCAATGCTGCGGTCTGGTACTAAGACAGTGGACAGTACGTCGGATACCTTGCTGCCGAATTTCCCACGCAATACATTTCGCAACGGGTTTCAAGACTGGGTAAATATCTCGGGGCAAACATCGTACTTTGGGGCGCTGTGCTGGCAGCTCACGCAGCTTGCCAAAACTATGCTGGACTGATGATCTGCCGTGCTCTTTTGGGAGTTTTCGAATCTGTTGTGACACCCACCCTCGTGCTTGTGGTTGCCATGTGGTACAAGAAATCCGAGCAAGGACGAAGGATCTCGTATGTATACGTTTGTAACAGGTGCGGATTACCCTTCCCTTGGTTAGTGCTCTCTCGGCTGATCGGTCACAAGCTTGACATCCATCTTTGCTGGGTTGGTCTCATGGGGCGTGTCTCACTCGAAGAACAAGAGCTTTGCAAGTTGGCGCATCTTCCTTCTGACGATTGGTCTTGTGACCGTCGTAGTCGGTGTCATTGTCTTCTTCTATCTGCCAGATTCTCCCGTCAAGGCTCGACGATTTTCTGATGCGGAGAAGGTTGCGACACTCTTGCGAGTCAAGGACAACCAGTCGGGCACGCAGAACGCCAAGATCAAATCGTCTCAATTGCGTTTGGTGTTCAAGGACCCTGGTGTGTGGCTTGTGGCCGTGAGCGTTCTGATGCTCAGTGTTCCGACTGCGATCCCGAACTTTTCCAGCATCTTGTTGACCACGTTCGGGTACAGCGCACAGCAAGCGGTGAGTGACCCTAGGACTGTCAAGCTTGGTTGGGGCCTTGTCATCAAGTGCTTTCCGCTCACTGCAAACAGCTTATACTGAACATTCCTGGCGGGGTGGTTGGAGCCGTGTCAACCATTCTCACCGGATACCTCAGCGATCGTTGGAACGATCGGAGTCTTGTGATGATCATCAGCATTGTACCAACCATTGCCGCATTTGCCATGATGATTGGTCTTGACCCTGGCGGTGTACCGAAGAGCAAAGGGGCATTGCTCTTTGCTCTTTATTTGTGCAACTCATTCACAGCGGTAAGCGTTTTGTTCTGCTGGTGTTGTCCTGTGGCTAAGAAGTACACCAGGCTTTCATGTTGCTTCTTGTCTGGAATGCATCGAATCTGGGAGGGCATACGAAGAAAGTCACCGTCAATGCCTTGACACTCGTCCTGTACTGTGCTGGGAACATCGCCGGCACCGAATCATTCCGTGCTTCTGAGGCTCCTGGATATATCAGCGGAAAGGCAGCCATCATGGCGTAAGTGGTCCCCAACCAGTAATAGTATTGCTCGGATCCCGACGCTGTACTTGTTTTTTTTTTTTTTTTTTTTAGCTTGATGCTAATGGCTGCTCAGCACCTTGTCGTTCCAAGTCCTGGTCTGCCTAGCTCTGCGATTCCGAAATGACCGGCTCAACAAGAAGAATCGGGAGAAGCTTGCTCTCATGAGCGAGGACGAGAAGGAGACTCTGCGGCAGCAATTGGCGTATGCCGACAAGACAGACCGAGAGAATCCGTTCTTTGTCTATACACATTAGTGTTCGCGGTGTGGGAGAGGGGCGATACTGAAAGGGATGGACCGCGATGCTGGCCCGTCCGTTTACCTTTCAGCTTGCGAGGGCAAATATCTCGTGTGCCACCTGTCGGAATCATACCGAGCCGAGTTCGAAGGAATTTAGGAGTATCTGAGCTCGTCTAGCCGGCTTTTTTCTCTCTGTCTCGGCATGCCATGTGTTGCTAGGCCCAGGATGAAGTCACGATCCCTTTTGAACGTGAAACTTTTGGGAGATATTCCTGCTCGGCAGTACCAAGTACTGATGAGGTGTCCTCGTTTGACACTGCAACATGGAACGCCATGACGATGCCCGCCCACGGCCAACAGGGTATCGTATCCAACCCACTCCTGTATCCACTATCCACTCTGTGCGTGTATAACGATGACTTTGCGACCGCGTGTGATGTCCAGTTATGAACATCTGGGCATGGACATGGATATACCAAGGACTCCGTACATCATCGTCTATCGTCTCGCTAATAGTTAGTTACCCAACGTCAAGAAAGGAGTGTGGAGAGGCTCTACTCACTCACTCCCTCGGTCTCTCGCCCTCGTGCGATCTCCGTGATGACCGAAGCCACCATCTGATCCTTGTTGCCTACCGAGCGTGCGAGTACAAATCGAGACATGTAACCGACCCCCGGACAAGTCACGATATATGGAATCAAAGGGCGTCCGTACCAGGACGAACCCTCCTTCATCCCATCCCACCCTCCCCTCCCCCCCCACTCCTCACCTCGCGGCGGGTCGCACTCTCTTACGCGCTGTTGCTCTTCCCCCGACTCCCGACCCTCCGTCACCTCACCCACACGT